AAACTGTTGTTTGAGAATAATTTTAATTTTAAAAATTTTAAATAGTAGTGTTCCTCGGTATTTGGTATGATACAATTGCATTCTGATCATTCTTTTGTTTTCAGAGACAACGTTTTTTTTTTCTCTCTTTTTTTTCTCGATTTAGAAAAATGAAATGGTTGTATTGCGTTTGACATGGAGCGCTTTATGTGTGACCATAATATTTTGTTTTTGTTAGTGCCATTGTAATGTTTTATATTATTTTATGTGTTACCATAACGTTTTACTATAACGTTTCGTTATAATATGTGATATCGTTAAGTGTTTCTAAGTGTGTTACTTTTGTGTGTTATTATTTGTGTTATCATAAAATGTTTCTGTATGTGTTACCATAATGTGTTTTTTGTGCGTTGCTCTTAATGTTTCTATAATGTCCTCTTATAATGTGTTATATAACGTGTTTCTGTGTGTGTTCTCATAAAGTGTTGTTATGTGTGTTATCATAAAGTGTTTTATATATTACGTTACTATTTGTTGATATTTGTGTTACTATACTGTGTTGTTTTGTCTTACCTTAAGTATTTCTGTGTGGTTTATTATAACGTGCTGTATAATAATATGTGTCACCATAACATGTATGCGCGCTAGCATGGTATTATGTCGTTTGTGTTACCATAGTGTGTCACTGTGTATGTGCTACCAGAACGTGCTGCTATTAATCGAAGGCCGCCAAGTAAACTATGGTAAGTCGGGTTTTTCAAATTTTAGAGGAGAGATTAAAAAACAGATTTTCTTGAAGGGTTGTTTTTAGGAAGGATAAACTTCATTTTGTGATTATTTCACTGAGAAACGAAACAAATCTGCGTAGCTGTCCTTCACAGCGGAAATGCCGAAAGTGATATATCGCGAAACGCGTTTTTTGTATTGAGAGTATACATCTAGACCTTCTAATTTTTTTGCATCTCTCAAGATTTATTGCTCAATTCCAGTAGCGTGTAAATATAGTAGGCCAATGACTTTCCGTTGATGCTAATGCACCGATCATACCTTTCTTTGAAAGGGGGCCCACCTAGTTATTCATATCGTGAGAAAGATTTCTATTCACGTACATGACAACGAACCATGTACGCACCGGCGTCTGTGGTGTATGTAGTAAACGTTT